TGGTGGTAGTGGTGGTGGTAGTAGTGGTGGTAGTAGGAGTAGTGGTGGTGGTGGTGGTGGTGGTGGTGGTAGTAGTGGTGGTAGTAGTGGTGGTGGTGGGAGTAGTGGTGGTATTAGTGGTAGTAGTGGTGGTAGTAGTTGTGGTAGTAAGAGTAGTAGAGCTAAGTCACCTTTGCAAACACAAAAAATGGCTATACACGGATTCACTGTATCACGGACTGTTTTTCAAAATAAGATTGGACATGACACAATTGATTGATTGATGGATGAGCTATGGATTGTTAACTCAAAATAAGTTATTTTAAATGATTATGCACCATGTGTTTAGCTGCAAGTGCAGGGGATGCTCCCTCCTGCAGCTGATCAGCTGATCTCTTTCTCTGCCACATGCACACATTTCTCCTGCTGCATCTTAGTGAAGGTTAACCCTTTGCTGTGCAGATGCACCGATCGACTTTTGTCTTCCAACTTAAAATTGTATGTCACATCGTAAAAATCATCATAATCACAAAATATAAAAGTGTTAATATCCTGATGCATGCTCAATAATCCAGGTAGAAAAATCCAAAAAAGTTCAATCTGGTCCTCTGGACATTCAAAAAAACAAAACAAAGCAAAAAAATGTAGAAACGTTTCGTCTCTCATCCGAGAGACTTCCTCAGTCTGAGGAGCTGTATTCAGCTCAGTCTCTTAAATTTAAGAGATAAAGTATTTTTGAATTGAATTGAATTGAATTTAAGGAGAGAGATTGGGAGTAACAGGTGATGAGTGACTGCAGCCTCACGTCATGACAAAGTTTACTGAACTTGAACTGAACTTGGACTACTGTATCACGGTTTTTCATTTATCGCGGGTGGGCGTGGTCCCTAACACCTGCGATAACTGAGGGATTAATGTAACTTTACAAATATTATGATGATAGATAAAACATTTTAAAGAAACTGAGCTATAATTAGTGTGGTTAGAGGAATGTCACTGTGAGCACCAACACATAGTTGACACCAAATGTTTACATACACTATTAAAAACAGACCCATATTTTTCCCCTCACAGTTTTGACATTAAATCAAACTAAACCTTCTGCTCCTTCAGTTACTTCAGTCGAGATGGAGTTCTGTGGATAATGACACTCTTTGACCACCTTCAGCAGCATCTTTACAACATTTTACTTATTTTTTATTTTTTATTTTTTATTTAACCTTTATTTAACCAGGCAGATCCCTTTGAGATCACAGATCTCTTTTGCAAGGGAGGTCTGGGCCTGAAGGCAGACTAACATGCATGTTTTTGATCTGTGGGAGGAAACCGGAGTACCAGGAGAAAACCCAAGCAGCACGAGAAGAACATGCAAACTCCACCCAGAAAGACCCCAGGTCCAACCGGGGATTGAACCCAGGACCTTCTCGCTGTGAGGCAACAGTGCTAACCACTGAGCCATTGTGCTGCCACATCGTTTTGGTGTTAATATGCACATTTCACACCAATACACATTCACCTCAGGACCACTGAACCGTCTCCTTCCTGAGAGTATGACTGCAGGACATTCCCATGGGGTTTATACTTGTGTATAAATGTTTGAGCAGATGAACCTTCAGGGGTCTGAAAATTGTTTCCAAGGATGGACCAGACTTGTGGCCTTAAATTGTGTCCACAAATGTTCTACTCAAATGTTATCAACTAACCTATCAAAAGCATCCAAAGCCAGGACATGATCTGGGTTTTTCCAAATTGTTTTCGACGTGATAATTTTAACGTATGTAAACTTGTGACTTTGAAAGAAATTCTGTCATTACTCACACATTTAGGAACTGTATAAATGTTGGAATCGAAACTGATTTATATCTGTTTCAGTTTGATTGAATTTGATTTTATTGTCAGACGGGGAGGAACATGGTTGTGTGTTTCTACAGTGTATGTAAACATATGGTTTCAATTGTATCTCGTATTTTCAAAAGCACAAACTGTTTTCAAGCTGGTAAACAGCTACAACTAGGACTGCGCGATATTTACAGTACACGGTAGAAACGATAGACATTTAGCTTGTGATGGAGATTTGTATTCTACCGGCTAACCGTAGTAATGCTGTGTCTGATGTAAAATCAGTTGTCAGATTTAATAGTTACTTATTTTTGTTGAAAACTGTGTTTAAGTGGTGTTCATAGCAGTTTTCAAAGTAAATGATGGCAAAAGGACACCCTATGCTTTTTTTCCTATTTCAGGTTTTATACAAAAACATATTGTGATATATATCGTTATCGCCACCCTTCAAATTACATATCGTGATAAGAATTTTATGCCATATCGCACATCCCTAGCTACGTAGAACTGTCATTTCTCAGCACAAGATGATCTTAGTGTGAAACTCTGGTGTGAAAGTTGGTGTGCGATATTCTTTCGAGGATTACTAGACTCTGAAAAATTCTGGCTCCTGTTCAGATGTTGTTGGCGACACCGGTACTACATCTGGAACAAATTGCGACACAAAAATATTTACTTTTAAAGCTTGTTGTTCTTATGAACGTAAAACGTGTGTGTTTTGTGTGCTTATTATAGAGCAAAGATTTTACAGCGTGCTGTTTGTGTCAGATCTCATCAGGAGTGTTTTGTACCAGAATGTGTTAGTGTTTTAACTTTTCTCTGAGCTCATTACAACTTTTGATGTAACCAGCCCACACCATTAACTGCCTCTCTCCCTGCCTCTCAGATGCCTGCGGTCTGACAGACCCAGTTCATGTGGAGTCTCTGCAGGAGAAGGCTCAGGTGGCGCTGACGGAGTATGAGAGGATGCAGTATCCGAGTCAGCCTCAGCGCTTTGGCCGCCTGCTCCTGCGCCTGCCTGCCCTGCGTGCCGTCCCTGCCAACCTCATCTCCCAGCTCTTTTTTATGCGCCTGGTCGGAAAGACCCCCATTGAGACGTTGATCCGTGACATGCAACTCTCCGGAAGCTCCATCAGCTGGCCGTATGTCCCGGGACAGTAGCTCCACGCTGGACAAGTTCTCCGTCTGGCATTAGCAACGCCAAGACCCTGCAGGAAACCTGACTCATCACTACCCATCTGTGTGGTCGTCACAATGCAGTGCCAGACTGTCATACATGCTGTGCTGTAACCGCTTCATTCCCCCTCATGAAACAGGCCCCTGGTCCCCACACAGGACTCTGCTGAAGAGTGAAGCCGGGGTAAGGTCTCTTTGCCAAACTATTTGTTCTGGTGCCAGATCTCAGGGCAGAACTGGTTCCCTTTGCTGGGCTTGGATAAGGTCACCATGGTCAGCGGTCATCACCCACTTGTCATAAAGACAGACACTGCCTCATGTAGAGGGCGGCTGCAGTCGCTGCAGAGGCCAAAACTCAAGAGTGGATTTTTTATACACACACTCCACACTGTGCTTCAGTGACGCCTTTAAACATGGAACTGATCACACGATCTAAACACTTCTAAATAAACAGTCTGGAGCACGGACCTCATGAGTTTGCTGCCCCGGTACTGAGGAAGAATCAAGAGGAAGTGCTCCAACAGAACAAGATGGAAAAAATGACAAAAACAAGAAATAGTCACCAAAGTCTACACATCATCCTCAGAGATTGTTTTTAAAACAAACAATGCGCAGGTGAACAGTGCGCTTCAATTCATTCACAGGGCTCACTGTTGCTTTAGTTAATGAATATTTAAAAAATCTCTGTGAGAAAAGACTAATACCTCATTAGACATCAGAATGCTTTAGTATATTACCTAAACTCAAACCTCTAAGATTCCACACCAGGAATCGCCTTCTTTTTGACAACTGCCTTGATACTAAGGAGAACGAATTGGAAGCCAATTGTCTTTTATCTTAAAACTCCCAGTCACTTTCAGTTGTCTTTTTGAGTTTTAACTGTTCAGCCCACTTTTTAAAATGAGATGAAACGGGCTGAAGTGTTTGAGTTCAGTTATGAGAAATAAAACCGGTGATCAAAGATGTGACGTCTAGAAGCACCAGGTAAACAGCTTTTTATCCTTAAAAACAAGTTTCTGGAGGAACAGCCTCTTGAAATAAAGTGTGTATATATCTATATGTATATTAATGCCAACTTTGTTCTTTTGCATGTTCAGATGTTTTTGATCTCTGCTTTCCCTCACTTGAACTATAATTCAATGTTTATTTAACCATTAAAGCAGTGGTTCTCAAACTGGGGCAGCAGGGTCTTTCCAGAGGGGAAGGGGGTCACTGCTTCTATATATATTTTTTAAATTTCTTTAAGCTTTTGAGCCTTAAATTTCCAAGCAGAACTAATGTTGGGACATTATTTTTGTTGGGTGGCACAGTTAGTAGAGCTGCTGCCTCTCAGTGAGCAGGTCGCCCTGGCTCAAATCCCGACCCGGGCTCTTTCTGGAAGGAGTTTACGTGTCCTCTCCGTGCATGCGTGGATGGTTGTTTGTCTCGTTTGTCCTTGTCCCTGTGATGGACTGAGGCCTGCTCAAGTCAAGTCAAATATATTTATAAAGCACATTTAAAACATCAGCTGTTACCAAAGTGCTTAACAATAAGATTGCCAATAAATTAAAGAAAGAGAATAATAAGATGTAATAATTAAAAGCATCAAAAATAAAAACAAAAACAATGAAATACTAAATCAAATCACACTAAACGTCAGTGAATACAGGTGTGTTTTTTAGGAGAGATTTAAAAGCAGGGAGTGAAAGGTCCTGTCTAATGTTGGGGGCAGATTGTTCCAGAGTTTAGAGCCATTGACTGAAAAAGCCTGATCTCCTCTGAGCTTCAGCCTGGTCTTTGATACAACCCAAAGCAACTGATCAGATGATCTCAGCCCCCGAGAAGGAACATAAGGTTGAAGTATAGGTCAGAGAGATATGAGGGTGTAAGGCCATTTATGCACTTAAAGGTCAACAGGAGAATTTTAAAATCAATTCTGACACGCACTGGGAGTCAGTGAAGGGAGGACGAACTGGAGAAATGTGCTCAGTCTACAAGTTCCTGTTAAAAACTGAGCTGCAGCATTTTGAACGTGCTCGAGCCACGAAAGAGACACCTGACTGACGTCAACATAAAGTGAGTTACATTAGTCCAGTCAGGTTGTAATGAAAGCATGGACTATTTTTTCAAGATCAGATCTGGTCAACACAGATTTAAGCTTCACTCTCTGCCTTAACTGGAAGCAGATTTTCTGCAGAACAGTTTTAATCTGTTTATTGAACTTAAAGTCAGAGTCTAAAACTATCCTGAGATTTGTAACGGGACTGTTTTAGATATGACTCAAGAGAGTCAAGGTTTGCAGGACCAAAGGTGGCAGTAGAGCTGGGATAAAAATGACTTCAATTTTCTGATCATTAAAACAAAAAAATTGAAGACATCCATGCCTTGATGTCATCAAGGCATTTTAACAGAGGGTGAATGGAGCAAGAACTATTTGGTTTTAAATATCCTGATGCATGCTCAATAATAATATTTGGTTTTAACGACAGATAAATCTGACAATCATCAGCATAGCAATGAAACAAAAGACCATGATATCAGGATAGATCCCAAGGGGAGCAGATACAATGAAAACAGAATGGGTCTAAGAATGGCGCCTTGCGAGACCCCGCTGGAAAGAGGCACTGAAGCAGATAAACTAACAACATTAACACAAAAACTCCTGTCGCTCAGATAAGAACAGAACCATTCTAAAGCTGCACCTGTAATCCCGACCCAGTGTTCTAACTGCAATTAAAGGGTTGGGGTTTGTTCAGGGTGTCCCCTGCCTCTCGCACAGTGATAGCTGGATATGGGCACCAGTGACCCCCATGACCCAAAAAGGAAGAAACGGGATAATGTATGGATGTTTTTGTGAGGAACCATAAAAGCCAGGCTGTATGCCAGTCAGTGCACAGAGTAGATCCACTCATTACTGTTGAGCTGGATAGAAATGATGTGGAGCAGAGGAGGAAGTGTTTTCTGGCTGGAGGAGGCTTCACTTTAAATCAGGGACAGGATCAGAACAGGACATGCAGCAAATCTGGTAACGTGATGTGGGGAAACAAAAGGTTGCTTCAAATCAAAGCTGAACGATATCTTGTTGGAATTGCATTGAGTGGTTAAAGGTAAAAAAAATCAACCTGTGTGTGTCTGAGAACTGATACCTGAGAGGTTAATTAAAAAAACAAATTATGCTTGTTAGAACATGATACTCTGGTCTTATTGACGAGGGATTTTTCAGCTTTGTTTCATGATCATTTTGTATTTTTTTAAAGAATCTTTTGGAATAGGGATGCACAATATTGGATTTTTGGACGATATGACGATATGTTAAACC